GGACTTTCTAGCCTACGGAATCATGGGCCAAATAAACCTCTTTTCCTTATAAATTACAGAGTCTCAGGTATTGTATTATGGCAACACAAAAACAGACTAAAAAAGCAATAAACTGAAAACAATCACCAAGTACATAGGATTAGTCTTGAATCCCTAAGCCTGCTATCTGGTGTAAATTCTGGCCATCTGATTTGGTTATATCTGCACTAGTTGTTTCAGTGTGAATATCTGAGCTACGATCTTATTTCTTGATTTACATTTGGTTTCCTTCGAGGCCCCGACATCCTGCTCACCTTTGTAAGCTCCCTCTTGCAGGGGCTAAGCATGCTTAGTCACTAGACTATATCCTGATCAAAAATGGCTAATCCACTTGTCATTTGCCTGGCTCTAAAGATCACCACCACTCAGAGGCTTTTAACCTTCTTTTTGCTTTACAGTCATTCACATGCACAACACACTTTCATCAGTGACCTCTCTCGTTTTAAAAAGTGATAAGCTGAGTTTATCAGAATCATTAAAGAAGAACGTTAAGAAAAATCACTTGTCTAGAAACTTTTGCTGCCACTCTGCATTCATCAAAATGAATTCCTGAGGGCCAGCCATATGCCATAATGCCTGAATTACAGAAATATTTAAGGAAAGAATAGAGTACTAAATTCTTCTCTTTTGGGGACAGAGAGAGAAGGGAGATCTTCCAAAGGAAAGATAATGAGAATAGCTTTACTGACAAATTATATTTTAAAAAACCTACATGTTTCTCTGTTGATGATACCATATACAGACCAAATAGCTATATAAAAGAAAACCCAAATATAGACACTCAAAACTTTTTGGCCCACCTACTTTGTACCACTAGCTTTAATTATGTTGTTTCATTTAATTCTTATAAAAATCTGAAAGAACTATTATTACCCCATATTATAGGTGAGGAAACTAAGGAGCAGAAAGTCTGCATAACTTATCCAAGGTCACACAGCAAGAAAATAATGGAAAAGGACAAAAAACTCAGATGTGTTCAATTTCATGGCATATATTTGCACCTATATAATTTTTAAGTCTATGCCTGAACTGTTATAGGAAATAGATATAATCAGCAAGTAATGAGATAAATGTGCCCTTATCAAAAGAAAAACTGAAATCAGAATGCAACATTAATGAAAAAAATTACACTTAATAAACTATATTCAATTTCCCATGTAATTAACATTTCCTAACCATGAAATTCTCTAATTTGCACATCACACACCCACACAAACAAAAGTAACATATTAAAGGCATTGTTCTCTTCCAATTTCTTTAAAATTTGTCTTTAAACAGTTGTCTAATAAAAGGGAAATACCTACATTATTACTAATCTTAGAACTGACATTTACATTAAGAAGTATTCTCAACAAAAGATTAATTTTAATTGTTAATTATTAATATGATAGAAAATCCATAGCAAACAACAATTTTTAAAAATAATATAGAAGAAACCTTAGTAATCCCTGAGAGTATGAGGGCACTTCAAAAAGTTCATGAAAAGATTCGTATTACCTTTTAATTCTACTTTTCCACAAACTGTCTGAAGTACCCTTGTATTTCCACAGTTCACTTATTTCATGAGAATGAAGAAAAAGAGAAAGAACTTTTATTGCTAATTATGTGACACTTAATGAAAGCCATCTCTGACATGACATGAACAATGAGAAAATAGGATTTAATTTATTAAATGCAATTCAAACAAACATTTTAGGGACACATTTATGCTACAAACCTGCCAGTAATCTAATGCAGAATAGCTTAGAACACGTCATGTTATTATATACCTTAACAGTCTCAGAGAACCAAAATTACCAAAAGCTAGTTACCTCACTTAACAAAAAGAGAAATTGAAGAACCACAGTCATCATTTACTACCTAGTTCTGGGATCTGCCCAGCAAATAAAAAAATAATTCTTCTTACCAGTTATCTCAACAGAAAACAAAGCTCAGAATCAGAATAAAAAGAATTACGATCCTCTTCTGAAAAAAATTCAAAGAAACAATATTTTCTTGACATCCCAGGCTTTCTTGCATTTGTTAGTCTACCAGTAACTTTGATATTTAACAGACCTGGGCTCTAATTCAACCTTTCTAACATTCAAAGAAACAATATTTTCTTGACATCCCAGGCTTTCTTGCTTTTGTTAGTCTACCAGTAACTTTGATATTTAACAGACCTGGGCTCTAATTCAACCTTTCTAAGCCTCAGTTTTCTCAAATGGAAATAACACTTATCTAATTCTTAGCTCAAAAGATAAGGCTTTAAAAAGTAACATATACAAAGCATTAAGCATGGCAGTTGGTGCATGGTGCTCAATAAACCCCTGACATTGTGATTTTATTTCAATTTTTAAATATAATTTCATTCAAGGAAATGTCTATCCAAAATAAGCAACTCAAATAAATAGGCTATCATTATTAGTTTCAACAGCATGGCTTGAAAATATTTTCATTTACAGCTCATAGGACTTTAAAGGGAAAAGGTATGCTTCCAACACCTGAGATCTTCCCAGGTGTTGGGGAAAACCAAAAAAACAAAACAGACTGAATATTTCAACTACCCGTTCAAAGCATTTTTCTACTGATTTCACCCCTTATTGACATTTTCCTGGCTCTCCCTGCCTAGAGAACTATTTCAGAACTCTTCTACCAAAATGGAGCACTTTGCAAACATTTTCATTTTATTTTACTTCATATGTTGACAAAATGGTTATTAATTTTACATGAAGGGGCTGTAGACAGCCTATGTTCTAACCTTATTCTGCCCAAGGAAAAAAACTAATTTTCAGTCTTAAAATTAACCTGAGTAAGAATGAGGGTGGTCTAAAAGTCTGGGGTTCTCAATTCCAAAAGATAAAAAGTCATAATAAAAGCTATATGGCCATCTAAGGTCTTAAATTTTGATTGCCAGTAAGTCCTGACCTTGCTGCTTAGACATTTACAGATAACAGTATTTCCAATGAAAGCCCATGACTTACTGGCAATTTGAAGACATCAGAGAGCAGGTGTCACAGTTACCAGTGCTCTAAAAACAATCATAAATGAAGCAGGTGCATTGCATAAGGCAACTTCAAGGGGATTTCAATAAAGGAATACTTATTCTAATTCAGATTAAATTAAGAACTATAGCAAAAGGACATTTCGTAAAACTTAACAGAAATGTTCCAGACTACTATCAATAGTCTTCTATATTAATTAGAACATAATTTAGAAATACTTCCTGTATTCTGGACAGTCTGATAGAGACCTAATCCCACAAAAGGAAATAGGCTATAATTTTCTCAGAATGGTTTCTTGGTTGAGAGAAAGTTCATAAAGTTTGTTTCATCAAAATAAGAACTACCTAAAGGGTTATTCAAGTAGGAAACATTTCTTAATGTTACAATATGCCTGACACTTTTATATTTCTAAGAAAAAAGAGGATAATTTTTACTTTAAATTTAGCACATCATTGACAACCAAGTATGTACCTGTTTAAAAGCTGCCAATCTTTAAAAATAAAATGGTGAAAACTCACGTGGAGTTGCTTCACTTTATTCCTTCTGAAAAACCCAGACTTGCCTAACAACTTGTCCTTTGTAACTTTTCTGAAAAACAAACCATTGGGTCCATTAAGAATGTTTTCTTCTATATTCCTATTTACTTCTAAACCTTCTTCCTGACAAACAATTCAACAAATAACACTACTTAATTCAAATCTATATGTCCCCATCTTCATTCACTTATTTAAATACACACACGTACATTATCACAAAACTCACTTTTAAGCAGTTTTTCCTCAATACCTAGAATCAAAGCAAAGAAAATCCTTGCTCTTTTAAACAACCCCCACTCTTGGGCCGGCCCGGTGGTGCACCGCTTGGGAAGCGCGGCAGCGCTCCCACCAAGGGTTCGGATCCCACATACAGACCGGTTCCCGCTCACTGGCTGAGCGAGGGGCGGGCGAGGGTTGCGATCCCGTTGCCGGTCCTGGTCCGGTACGGGCGCGACACTGAGGGTTACAGTCCGTTGCCGGACACGAAAAAAGACAAAAAAAATAAAAAAAAATAAATAAATAAACAACCCCCACTCTCAAGGGTCTATATATACTGTAAACAAAGCAAAAATATAAGACAACAAAAAATTAAGGAGGTAACCAAAGATATACGTATAACTCTTACATCTCCTTCCAGTGTCAACTCCTGCCAAAGGGCAGATATGTTATACTGAATGCTGCAGTGTCTGTTTCAATGCATATGAACGTTAATCTAAGCTCACTAATTCACTAGCATTCTCCGAGACTTTTCACAGAGATCTGAAATCAAAATAAAAAAGGATCAAAATTCCAGTTTAATCTGAGATTTAGGAAGTCAATTACACTCTTACCACACAGTCTAAAATTAAAGATATAAAACTTAAGTATTTATATCACAATTTTTGTCTGCTGGCCTTAAGCATATTTAAATGATTAGGACTTACTTTGCTACAGAGAGATTACTGGGTTGCCACCTTCATTATCCACATTTTACAGGTGAAGGTACTGAAGTACAGAGGTTAAGTGGCTTCTACAAACTATCATGAGTCATTAAGAGTTCAGATCTTCTGACTTGAAGTCCTGTGCCTGCTGTCCATCATGAAACCTTATTTAAATTTCTAAGAGCACAGAATCAACTCACTAAAAATACCAACAAGAATTTGTAGGCATTTAATATTTACCTAAAACAAAAGACCTGCCTTTGAAGGAAGAGCAAACTTCCTCCAGAAGCAGCAGTTATCTCTATTTGCATTTGAAAAATCATTTTTTAAAAATCTTAAAAGGTGAGGAGTTCATCACCTCTTACCATACACAATAAACTGCTGGTTCTTCTAAAAGAAGTGTGGTTTAATGACACCAGATCCTCTTACTTTTACTTATAAATCACTTTGAATAAGGAACTACACTTTTTTCCCTTGGTATTTCCCTTCTTAAAACAGAAACAGAAAAACTCAATTCCTACCTGACATAGACAACATAAGGAAGAATTTACTGTTTGTGGACTGCTTTGAAATTCCAGAACGAAATACATAATCCAGTTGATCTTCAACCCTAGAATAAAGGCAAACTTCACTAAAAGCAATTGCTAAGCAGATACTTCAAAATAAAATATTTATACACTTCTATTTATAGAAAGGGAAGTTTTATTTAAGCCAAATAATATAAAATAAAATAGGTGGGAAAGAACCTTCCAAAACTGTTTGGAAAGTTCTTTTGCCCAATTCAAAAACTTAATAATTCTCATGTATTTCTCCTTCAGTAAGCACAATAATTCTATTCTTAATTTAGCAGAAATTGCTTGCATTTATTAAAGAGAACAGAGACTCTCAGAAAAATGATGCAATCAATTGCAACAGCAAACATATAAAGATTAATAATAAATTTTATAAAGTAAATTTTGCTAAATTTCATTTAAGATTAGTTCTTGGACAACTATATTTACTGGAGGACAATAAAATTTTCAAATTTTAAGCATATGTTTGCAGGTGAACCTTTAACAAATCTTAAGCCTTTATAGTTTCATGAAGCCTGTACTCAAGTTGTCAGGTAAACATAATTCTTAAAAATTAAAGCTTCAATCAATAAGTGTAGCAGGTTTATTGCTATTGTCACTCTTTGGTATTTCCAAGCAGTGGAAAGAAGATGAAGAAATTTTATTAAATTGGAAGCTGAACTAAATATTGAGAGGATACCTAGTTTAGGTAGAAAGCAAGCGAGACTAGAGGGCATGTTAAAAAGAACTCTTCAGGGATTTAATTAAAAGGTGATACAAACGGACTGAAGAGGCCTCAACTTATACAAATAGAAAAAAAGAGTTGCAGAAAGGGAAAAAGTCCAGATTAGAGACTAGAAATGGCAGTAGGATGGAAAAGGACGGGAGAACATGGGCCATTAGGCAGAAAGCGATGAAGTGAGTACCAAAGGGAGCTAAGGGTTTGAGGGCCTCCGAAGGTAAAGTGGGAGCACAGAATGAACTCTAGTGCAAAGCGATGCTAAAGCAAAACACACAATCGGCAACTAACGAAAGAGAATGAAGATGAAGTACCGAAAGGAGGAAAATGAGAGGAAAAGAAAGCCGAGAATAAAATTATGGAGATAACATTGTGAGAAACCTGGTCAGAGAAGGTAGGTTTGAGCCAGACTAGGGATGCACAGTGAGAGGAAAGAAATCGAGGGGAGCAAAAGGGTACACTGCCTCCAACGTAGGGTCCTCCGAGGCGAAAAGGCACGTGGGAGGTGCGGGATGAGAAAGCAGAACCACGACAGAGAGGTAAAGGAGGGACAGAGCGGCGAAGATGGAGCCCGGGGCGAAGGGCAGGAGAAGGCTGAGGCACAGGAGGAGTGAGGTTCAGGACGCGCCGCAGGGGCAGGGGCGGCAGGGAGCGTCGGGCAAACGGCGCGCCGCGGCTCCTCGCCTCCCTGAGAGCTCTGCACCGCCATCCCCGCCGACCTTCAGCGGGCCCGGAGCCGGGCTCCGACGGCGAGAATCCGGGTGAAGGGCCGGAGCGGACCAGCGGGGAACCAGGAGAAGGCCGCTTCCTGCCTGGACCCTGGGAAAGAGGCACGGAGGGAGGGGACGCGGGTGTCGGGAGCCGGCGGAGACGAACAGGACAGTTAGGGGGTTACCTCTCGCCCGGCTCTGCCTCTTCCCCCGCCTGTCGGGCGGAGCTCGTTATCCAGCTGGAAGAAGACGGCACTACCCAGGTCAGCACCATCCCGTCCCGGGCCCCCTCACTTCGCCATCGCAGCAACCACAACCAGCGAAACCGAGGAGCCGGTTCGTCACCGCCGCTCGGCAACCGGCCCAGCGCTGCCAGCGAGCATGCGCAATCGCCCCAGTCCCGAGGGAGCTCGGGCCGGACAGCTATACCTGCGATCAACAGGTCCCCGGCCGCGCGGCCCCGCCCCCGGCTGCTCTCACCTCCCCCAACTTCGTATAATGTATGCTATACGAAGTTATCCCCCGCCTGTCGGGCGGAGCTCGTTATCCAGCTGGAAGAAGACGGCACTACCCAGGTCAGCACCATCCCGTCCCGGGCCCCCTCACTTCGCCATCGCAGCAACCACAACCAGCGAAACCGAGGAGCCGGTTCGTCACCGCCGCTCGGCAACCGGCCCAGCGCGGCCAGCGAGCATGCGCAATCGCCCCAGTCCCGAGGGAGCTCGGGCCGGACAGCTATACCTGCGATCAACAGGTCCCCGGCCGCGCGGCCCCGCCCCCGGCTGCTCTCACCTCCCCCTCCCGCCTCTTCCCTCCCCTCTCTGAGGCTAGGCCCCGCCCCACTCAAGCTCCGCGCCCCGCCCCTCGGGCGCCTCCGCGGCCTCTCCAGCTCCAATGCCAACTGAGATTTCGAGAGATTTGTCCACCTTACCCAGCTCCCGTTCCCAAGTTCCCGCGAGAACAGGAGATTTGCGTCAATAAAAAGCGCGAGCCCAAGGAACGGGGAAGTCTGTGGGTTTAGGGAAAAAGCTTGGAGGCTGCTGGTGTAGAGTATGGACCAGAGGAGGGCAGAAAGAGGGAGTATTAAGATTTAAGCTGCTTTTCTCACTGTTATTTCTCGTTTACTTTCTTCACCTGCTACCTGCAGTCCAGGCGAGAGAGCCCTGTCCCTGAGCTACTCATTTTGTGCGGTAGGAAAGGAAGCTGCGGAGCATCCGCGCTGGCCTGGGACAGCTGCCATTCGGAACTCAGTTGCGTTTTTGGCGAGGTGTGATCTGCCCGCTTCTCCATTGAGAGGCCCAAAAGGCGGGAGGGGGCCATGAAGTGAAGCCTTAAGCTCTTCAATTCCATTAACAGAGGGCCATGAAGGGTAGACCTTCAGTCCTTCATTGATTTGTTTCACTCTTCCCTGTTTCTGAATCTAATCCAGCAGAATCTTTTTGTGGAGCATAAAGCTCAGTATGTTACTAAAAGCAATAAAATTGTGACTGCGGCTCGTGTGTTAAAAATGAATTAGGATGAATAGTGGCGATGGTTGCACAACAATGTGAATTGTGCAATTAAAAATGGTTAAAAGGTAAATTTTATGTATATTTTACCACAATAAAAATGAGGAGGAAGAAGCTTTGTGCACTCATATGGGAGTGATGGTGATGCTTGTAGCCTAGGCCATGGGGGGGGGGGGGGGGCTTAAATATAACTTAACCTCTG